GAGTGGGCTTAGAGAGCTTTCTCCTAGCTGCCTGAGGATGCCAGTCTTCTCCTGGTCTTCAGATGAAGATGTAGAACTCTCAGCTCCTCCTGCACCATGCCTGCCTGGATGCTGTCATGCTCCCACCTTGATGATAATGGACAAAACTCTGAAACTGTAAGCCAGCCCCAATTAAATGTTGTCCTTATAAGAGTTGCCTTGGTCATGGAGTCTGTTCACAGCAGTAAGACCCTGACTAAGACAGCACGTGTTCTAGTAACAGAAAACGGACACACATCAAAGGTTATTCCGGCATGAAACACAGCTGCAGCTTGAAGGGACTCCATTACACTCCTCAGCTGAAAGGGTCCCAGTCCCCTTCTCACCTGCACAGTGAGCTTTTGTTGAAGGCAGAAGGAGGCCGCAAGTTGTATATTGGCATGAAAAAGGAACAATCAGTCCTTTAACTAACTTTTAAATCCATACCAAGACTTTTGATGAAGATACCTGTGGGCCGCTACACCTTTCGTTCCTAAAACAAAGTGACACACATACCCCCAGATAAGTGACTTGCCCAAGGACAGAGTGTGACAGAACTGGGACTTGTCACCAGGTCCTCTGATAGTGGGTTGATGCTCCTGTCCCCACCCCATAATGCCTGAGTATCTCAGACGCCACACTTGCATTTGGTGCCTCCGAGCAGGGTCAGCAGAACCTGGGACCATAAATAGCATCCTTTGGGCCCTGACAGCTACAATCACCCATACTCCAGGGCTGCTGGCCCCCGGGACGGCAGGGAAAGCCCCACGATGAAAGTCTTATCTTTCTTATTGCTGTAAATGCTTTTTCTTCTGTTCATTTTTATGACGAGATTGATGCTAGGGACAAAAAGAAAAATAACCACTACCGAATTTATGGCATGTTCATTTATTTTTTATTTTTATTCAAAGATTTATTTTATGCATACGAGTGCTTTATCTGCATGTACACCTGTATGCCAGAAGAGGGCACCAGAACTCATTACAGATGGTTGTGAGCCACCATGTAGTTGCTGCGAATTGAACTCAGGTCCTCTGCAAGAGCACCCAGTGCTCTTAACCACTGAGCCATCTCTCCAACCCCTGTATGTTTGTTTAGAATGAAATAAGTTCAGTAAGCTACCAGGAGAAGGGTTTCACATCCTAGTTCATGAACCCTACTCCCAACACCAGGCTGTCAGCTCTCAGATGAGAACGGCAGAACCGGTCATTGGAAGATTGTCTGTGGCCACAAGGAGAGCAAGAGGGCCAATGACAGCACGAAGTTGTGGCTGTGTGGCTGCTCCAGAGGCAGAACAGAATGCAGCCATCTGCTCACACACACCGTGCATGTTCTCATGAGCACACAAGCACATGCCATGACCACTCACACTGGGAAAATGTCCTGTACCATTTAGCCATGAGACAGGACACGGTCCAGGTACTGGTACAAAGGCAGCACTTGTAGGACCCACTAGAAAGTGGAGGGTGGTGGTTAGACCCAGGGACTAGAGTATCCAGGAGAGATGGAGACTTGACAAGAGGCAAAGTTCAAGCCCAAATATAATGGAAGCAGGTGACACAGCTGTTCTGCATGCCCAGTAAGGAGCTGATTCACAATATCAGCAGGGCAGTAAGGGCAGCACTGCACCTCCCTCTTAGGAACACCTAAGGCGTCTGTCCCCATGTAGTGACATGGACACAGCTCAAAGGATCCTGAAGGTCTTTTTAAAAAAAAAGATTTATTTTATATGCATTGGGTTTTTTTTTTTGTTTTTGTTTTTGTTTTTTTTGTTTGCAGCAGGTATGTCTGTGTGAGGGCGTTGGATCCTCTAGAGCTGGAGTTATTGACAGTTGTAGGCTGTCATGTAGGTCCTGGGAATTGAACCTTGGTCCTCTAGAAGAGCAGCCAACACTCTTAACCACTGAGTCATCCCTCCAGCGGTCCTTTAGGTCTTAAGACACTGAAAGTTGCAAGCTTTGCCTCATCCTTTTGAAGTAAGGCGTGCTTCCACTATTTCTAAGGACGTGAAGTTGTGTATGTGTGAGCAGGCTCAGGAAACCCATCTCCTCCTAGCCACACACAGGATCTCACCAACAATATGCCAGTTCCAGGCCCTGACTCTAGTGACGTTCCTTCCTTCTCATGTGTATAGGTTGGCCGGACCCACGTGGCTTCTTGGGTCCCACTCCTTTCCCTCTCCTTGTATGATCCCTCTGCCTGTGGTGGGACTAACCCAAGACTGCCTTGAGGATGCGCCTTTCCTTCAAAGTCCAGGACTTTTCAAAAGGGACAAAGTCCATGGTCAACTGAAATGGCTCTAATGTGGAGGACAGCTGAGGGACTTGGAGGGCTGGGATCAAGCCATCTGGTACCCCTAAGTCCTTCCTACACCCTTAGGGCCAGAAATCCCATGACTTTCAGTGGGGGCGTCTTCCACCATGGGGCAGACACCCCTAATGGTAGGAAAGAGTGTCACTGTCTTAGGCCACCTGGGTGCCCGTTGATCTTTCGAGTCCCATGCCACCAGCATGGCCACTTTCTGCAGCTTCATATACTAAGAGTGTCAAAGGACCAAAGAAGACGCCTAGTAGTTTGTTCCACACTGTCCCTTTCCGAACCTTGAGGGTTTGCGCTGGATGGCTGAACCTCAGGGGATGTGCTTCAAGACTGCATCTGCCTGCCCATCCACCCACCTGAGCTGCTCTGTTGTTGCAGGCAACTGAGCAATGCTGCAGAAAATGCCCTCGTATTGTATTGTCCGATCAGTAATAGACCCACAGAACCTCTTCAGCATCCTGCGCTTCCATGACCTGGCTCTGTCTCATCTCCAACATGGTCCTTGGGTATCCTGGTGTGTGTGTGTGTGTGTGTGGCATGTGTATTTTATTAATAATCTTATTGATTGTACTTCTTGACTAGGGTACAGTTTTCGGTCCCTGCAAAGAATACTGTCTCTTTGTCCTACAAAATAAATAAAGTCAACTTGCAGTGCACACAACCTTGTCAATGTCCTGAGAGGTTCCAAAGGTCCATTGTGGGGAGGTCTGTCCTCAGAGAGCCAAGAGATGGAGGCCTTGTGCGCACCCCCCCCCCCAGGGAAGAAAGAAGGAAACTCCCAGCTCAGCCTCTCCCACCCCACATGTGGTGCAGAGAAGGGACTATGGCCCCGATCCAGAGCTATTAGAGAAGATATCACACTCCTGAGCCTGCCGCAACATCCTGTCCCCTGTCCCCGTCAAGTATGAAGAGCTGATGTCTCTTTGTCCCCCACACACTTGTTCTTGGATTGTCACAACCAAGAGCAGAGCCTTGAGTGAGGGAACATCACCTATGCTTGGGACGGCAGCTGAGGAGGTGGATAACAAACACCAACACAGGGGGAGCGTCCCGACTGTCCTCCTCCACACCAGTGCTAGACCCGCTGCCATGCTATACATCCGGTGTCGTGGTACTCACACCATCCTGGCTCTTACGGTGCCAGATGCAGCAATTCCAGAAAGTCAGTGTGTCAGCCCTGACTGCGGCAGTTCTGAGGCTAGCCAGGGCTCTCCACCTCAGCTTGCACAGGGAGGGAAGGGCTTCTGCTTGGGGGAAAGCTATCTGCTCAGTTAAGAGTTCCCCCATTCCCCACAAATGTTGGGGCTTACAAGAAGAGATTTTCAGATAACCTGTTCTTGAGAAGGAATACTGGTTGCTCTTGGCAGAAGGATCTTAACATTTTTTTTCCTTATAGACTCAGATATCTAAATAGATGCACCTTGAACTTTTGACCTCCAACCTTTGATTTCCTGAATGCTGGGATACAGGTACATGCCATCATATGTATAGGATGTGATTCAGGGCCCAGAACCCAGGGTTTCATACACAACAGACAAACTGCACAAACTGAGCTACAGACCTAGGGCCTAAGGCAGCTTCTGAGAGTCATTCCACATGAAGTTCACACAGAACACGTGGGACCTTAGGGGGGATGCATGACTCCAGTCCTTCTAGGGGAAGTCCTTTCTGGTCTATCCTTTTACCAGAAGCCAGATGCTCCCTGCTGGTATCAGCCTGATCCCCAAACCCAGTTGCTTCTGAGTAGTTTTACAGAAACAAAGTCCAAAACAGCACCAAGCTATAAATAACCTTAAAAAACCCAAATAAGAAACCTGCCCATCCTGAGTTCAGCATACTTCCTCCAAAAGCCCTAAAGCAGACTTCCTTTTTAGACACTAGTTGTAACCATGGCAACCTGAGGGCTGACCTCTGTCAACTAAGAGGGAAATGGCAGGCTATGTCCTAATGTGACTTCCCCCTGCAGAGCACTCTGAAGTTCTTGGCTAGTCCCAGAGGCCTGGCTAAAGACAGCAGGCCCTTGAGCCTTCTTTCTCTTCCAGGAGCGGAAGTTGAGCCCACTGGCTAGGCCTCAGAAAGCCTTCAAAAGCCAGCATGCTCCCCAGGAGTGGGCAAGATGGGGCCTTTGGCCTGTAGTCATAGGAAGGCGACCTATGCTATCTCTAAATATTCTGCCTTCCAGCTGGAGCCTGTGGAGGCATCAGAGGAGGTAGCCATGGCAACCTAAGATGCTCATCGGTGGTTCAGAGACCATTATTCTTTTCCAGCTCTGGTCAGGGCAAAGTGTCATTGTCCTTGAATATACACCCTCTTCACATAATCCTAAAAAGTATAATTTAAGGCTCCTTGTTTAGATGTATGATACAGAAAAACAAAACAAAAAACCCCAAACCCCCACAATCACGGTGAGTGTAAAATAATGGAGAAGGGAAGCTTTCTGCACCAGTGTGTGCATGTATGTGGTGTGTGCATGTATGTGGTATGTGTGCATGTATGTGGTGTGTGTGCATGTATGAGGTATGTGTGCATGTATGTGGTGTGTGTGCATGTATGTAGTGTGTGTGCATGTATGAGGTATGTGGTGTGTGTGTGCATGTATGTGGTGTGTGTGTGTGCATGTATGTGGTGTGTATGCATGTATGCATGTATGTGGTGTGTCTGCATGTATGTGGTATACGTGTGTGTGTGTGTGTGTGTGTGTGTGTGTGAGAGAGAGAGAGAGAGAGAGAGAGAGAGAGAGAGAGAGAGAGAATAGTGTGTTTATGGGGGGAATGTGTTTATTACACTTTTCTGTCCCTCTCTGTGCTACACACATATGTATGTCTTATTTCCCCTTCTATTTATAGTGCTGAGAATCACACCCAGGGCCCTGGGCATGAGAGGCGAGGGCTTTACCACTGAGCCACACTCCCCGCCCCCCCAGTCTTGTCTGTTTTATATGCACTTTGAGTGTCTTGCTCTACACAGGCTGATGCTCAGGACAAGAACTGCTAATCAAACCATTTTCTATCAGCTGGCAAACAGCTATTGTTCCCTGAGGAGCTTCAAATTCCGTCTTCCCCACCCTAGGCTGTCCTCCTCCTTCCAAGGGCTCAGCCAGATCCCGGGCTTCCCTGACTCAGAGTGGAAGAGGTTAACACTTGATACAGTAGGAGGTCTGAGTGACTGCAGAGGGCCTAAGCCCCTGCTGGTTGTTAATACTTGGACGCTGGCCCACACAGCCTACAGGCCTTTATGTGCTCCGTGTATAGTTTATGTGACAGAAAGAGAAAGAGCCAGGGAGGTGTGTCCACATACAGGAACCTACTTGGGCCTGCTTGGAACACTGCAGGTCATAAGGTGTCCTCACCTTGTGAGCAGTACCCCTATAAAGACAGGGTGCTGCTATTCTCAGAGGAGCCCCAAGGCTCTAGCTGTAGCTGCGCTGGGGAATCTAGCTGGCAGGGGGCCTACCACTACAGCCAGGGGCTACACTCTCACCACCGTGCCCCATTTTGACTCTCTGCCAGGGCTGTGTCTCACTGCCAGGCTAGGTGTGAGGGAAGCAGGGCCAGCTTTTCATGAGAAGGGGTTCCAAGGGTCCTGGACACCCCCCACTACGTGACCCAGAAGGTACCCCGCTCCTCCAGGAGGCTGATGGAGCGGTTGGTGAGTGAGTCGGCATCCCTGGCCAACTTGTATCCAAAGAGGTGCATGGCCGGGGCGCAGGCATTCTGCACCACCTGCGCGAGCTTGAAGGGCATGCTGAAGCGCCACTTCTCAAACTGCTCCGAGGAGTTCTTCTGAGTGGAGTAGACGTCGCTGCTGTCGCGTGCCGCCTGCGTGTTCTTCTGGATCCAGTCCTCCACCTGCGGGGTCAAGGGGATACCCGCGAAGCTGTACATTTCTCGGGCCTTCTCGAGTGGCCTGCGTGCCACATCCTCGTAGCGCACCAGCATGTAGCGACCGCGCAGCCAGGCTGGCTGCCTCAGACCCAGCTCTGCAGACAGGCGGATGCTCTCACAGTTGCCCCGCAACCGCTGCACCTCATCCTTGCTCAGCTGGTCCTGCCCCTCGGACAGCCACTTCTTCCAGCTCTCATACTTGCTCCTGAAGGCCACTATGCGTGAAGCCAGCACGGCCCGGGGGTCGCGCACCAACTGGATGACTCGCAGGTCTAGCCTTGGGTCCTCAGCCAGCGGCTGCAGGAACTCCAGCTGACGGATGCGCACCGCCTTGAGGGCCATGTGGTCCTTGCGGCGGCAGGCCTCGGCCGCCAAGGTCACGTTGAGTGGACCACAGCGACGGTTCCTGCAGTGGAACTTCTCGAAGACCTTCTTGACGAAGGGTGTGCACACCGGATCCTCGCAGAGCGAGCGGCTGGATCCCCGGCGGAACAGGAACTGAGTCAAGTGGTCCTCGGGCGGAGGATTGATGAAGGGCTCCAGCACATACAGGTCACACAGCAACAGCTGCTTGAGGACATCGCGGTAGACCAACGCTGAGCCCGCCGCGCTGGCGCCTCCCTGCTGAAAGGACACGGTGCGCTCGATGTGCCACAGTGGCTCGAAGAGGTAGAAGATATTGCCCTGCTGGTTGAAGAACTCGCCTACAAATGAGGAGCCCGTGCGGGTGGTAGCCATGAGGAGCACGTGCCTCCGGGTCCCTGCTCCAGCCTGCTGGGATGGCTTCTCTGCCACAGCCTCCCGGCCGTGGGCCTCCATTGCTGGCTCCATGCCCAGCTGCAGGCTCAGATTGTGCAGGCGACTCCGCAGATGGGAGAAGGTGGAATCCAACTCACTCAGGGACAGGAGAGATGCATTTTCCGACAAGAGCAGGGCTGAGTCGGTGCTGTTGGCGTCGGACACAAATTGAGGGATTTGCTTTAGCTTGTCGGAGACCCTGGGTGTGAGGGGTGTTAAAGAGGACAAGGTCTGTAACTGATTTTGGGTGGCCATCTCCCGTACTAGGCTACGAAGTCTTAGCTGGGTCTCTCCAGAGCAAGCCTAGTGGCTAAGGATCGAGTGTGGTTTCTTTGGTACAAACCCAGGAGTGATTCAGTGGGAGAAGCTAAGCAACGAGTGATGGCTACACACAGGTTCGCTTTCACGAAAGCCCTTGGGCACTTTACCCTCCGACAGGTCTGGCCCGTCTGGTGCAGTCACTAGCAGCTTTCTGGAGAGTTACAAACTGTGCAGCAGATAGGAGCTGATTCATTGGCAGTCCTTAACCTACCCTCCTTGGCTGAGGATGGTATTTGGGGCTATGCATCTGGGAGATCAGGATTAAGAAATGGTTCTGTGTCTAGCAGGTCCACCCCACACAGCAGGACCCTGCCAACTCAAGGAGTATGTAGCCTATCTGAGGGTCACTCCCTTAGAGTTTGAATGATTAGCAATCTGGGCACCTACCCGTGATGGTCCCACCCACCAGAGTGGCCATACCAGAATCCTGCTTCCCATGGGCTCACCTCCACCCACGACAACACGACTTGCAGAGGGGAGGTGCTACTAAGGAGTGGTAGACTAAAAAGTGCAGTAGTCATACCAGCAAGTCCCAAGCATCAGTGATGTAGCAGGCCGTGGACAAATGTGGTTTACCTTTTCCACATTTACCTTATCAACAAGACAGGCCCATCGCTAGCCACCTATTAGAAAGGGCCACCTCAACAAAGGGAAGTGTTTCGCCTGAGGGCTTGCAGTTGAGAAGGGACAGTATAGGGGTGCCAGCCTGGACTGCCCAAGTCTCACCCCTACATATATGACCTCGGCCTAAGACACAGGGGCTGCCTGATGACTGCTTGCAGAAGAGATGTACTTCTTGATCCCCCGAGAACCCTAGTGTCACCTCTGACCTCACCTTTGATAAAGGGGACCTGTGATTGAGTTCCTTACCTGGATATGATTTTATTTTCCTTTTCAATGAAGATGAAAACTATGACGACAAATGCCAGGAACAGGACATATCTGCCTCGAATCTTCAGGCTGTGTACAAGGTCCCGGCAATCCTGAGGCAAAGTGAGTCCTTTCTCCATGGGGAGAGGAGGCGCCATGGAGTCCCTCAGGCTGGCTTCAGGCACTCAGCTCAGGAGCATAGCTTGGGACCCAACCCGTCCTCTTCAGGTGGGGGACACCCTCATCCTGTGGAGAGACAGGTACTCAGGGCATCCTTGTTCATACACAGGGAACAGAGACATCTTTCTATAAAACTTTTGGAGAGAGACCTCAGGCCCACTCTCAAAACTTATGTGTTCACCTCTCTTTTGAGATAGGGTCTCTCTATGCAGTCCAGAGCACTCTGGACCTCTTTATCCACCTGCCCAACCTCCTAAGAGCTGGGATCACAGGTGTGTTCTACCATACCTTTTGGGGTTTTTTAACAGGTCATTTAATGGTCACACCCCAGCACTCTGGAGATAAGACAGGAAAATCGGAAGTTTGAGGCCGGCTTCAGCTGCACGGTGCACTTTAGACCAACCTTTTGACTCTGTCTCAAACAAACACCCAAAACAGGGTCCGGAGAGATGGTTCAATGGTTAAGAACTCAGTGCTCTTGCAGAGGACCCAGGTTCAGTTCCCAGCACCCGAGCAGCAGTTCATGGCCATCTCTAACTTCATTTCTAAAAAATCTGATGCCCTCTTTGCCTCCACAGTCACTGCATGCATGTGACGCACAGACATACAAGCAGGCAGAACGCTCACACACATGAAATAAATATATATTTTTAAAAGTCCCACAGTAAACAAAAAGTATTACTTCCAGTAGCTGTTGTTCTACCCAATAAACTTTGTTTTCTCTTAAAAACAAACAAACAAAACAAACAGTTGTGGGAGTGGTTCTGATGCTAAGGTCCTGTTCCTCGGTTGGTTCTTGATCAGATCAATAAAGATGTCAGGGCCAATTGCTGGGCAGAAGGAAGGAGGCGGGACTTCCGGGTCCCTGAAGGCAGGCTAAGAGATGCAGGAAGAGGAAAAGGGAGTTCATCATGCTTTTGAGGGAGAAAAGGTGACCAGCCAGCAATGCGAGATCTCAGGTGGAGCGGCCATAGGCCACTTCCCCAGGCAGGAGATTAGAAATGCAACTAAGCTGAGGGCAGATTAAGAGGTGCTGAGCTAAGAGTATTGGGAGGGGCACGCTAGCTGTGGGAGATTAGAAGTGCCCAGAAATTGAGCCAGTAAGGCAGGTTGAAAATAAGTTAATGTGTGTGTGTGTGTGTGTTTCATCTGCAGATCCGAGGGAACCTGGGCAGGGCTGATAGCATGGTCTGTCTGGAGCTTAAAGAGGGGTAGCAAAAGCTACACTCAACAAACAGCAGTAAAACACCCAAAGTGCTAGCAAGGAGCCAGGACATGACAGTACAGACCTGTAATCCCAACACCTAGGAAACTGAGGCAGGAATATCTTTTTAAGTTCAATGCTAGTTTGAGCTACAGAGTTCTGCTGAGCCAGAATGAGACCTGATGAATGAATGAATGAATGAATGAATGAATGAATGACAAACCCTTCTATCTACCCTCATTTCCCTGAGTTTCTCTGCTGACCTCACAGGTTACAGGCGTGCACAGTCAAGCATCACACAGAGTATTTAGATAAAGAAAAGAGTAAGTCATCACTGGTCCCTGCCGTTAAAATGGAGCCATGGAGCTGTGGATTCCTGGTCGATTCAATACATCCTAGCTACCAGTGTCACGTGTAGAGTAACATGCTGAGCGACCCACCATACAAAAGCGTAATGTAGGGCTGAGACAGGGTCAGGAGGCTCAGAAGTTCACAGCTACCCTTAGCTACACAAGGCATAGTATTCTGTGCTGTGCTAGCTTATTGCTCTTGTGTTTCCAGAGTCTCTGGGTTGTACAGAGATGCCAAAGAGGGTTAGGGATCATGGCTCAGTGGCAGAGCACTTGCTTAGTATCTGGGACTTGGTAAGGAAGCATTCATTATAAAGGAGATGAGAAAGAGAGGAGTGGGGGAGGGGGCTGCAAACAAACCGGGAGACTTCTAGCAGTCTTTTTCCTCCTGAGTCTAGCACCTTTGGCAAGGTTTTCGAGTTGATGGAACCTCATGGCCATAAGTCTGTAATCCCAGCTCCTCGGCTGGCAGAAGCAAGATTGCAAGTTCAAGACCTGCCAGGACAACTTAGTTAGACTGTGTCTCAAAAAAAAAAAAAAAAGGTACAACCTACCGTGCTGGAGCCCCAGGCTCAATCCCAGGCACAGCAGAAACAGTTAGATTTGGGATTTGTGCTCCTCTGATGTCAAGCTTCTAACCCTTCTTCCCCTCCCCTCCTCTCTCAGAGGCTTTTTTTTTATTTTGAACTCATTAACCTACCCTCTTCTCCCTTACAGCAGTGCAGGGTTCCTAGGGACTGCCAGGCAGAAGAAAACTGAACACTGGTACAGCATAAGTGGACTGGCAGCTCCTTCACCCATCCCTGGTAGAATGTCCCCTCTGCATCCTTGCAAACCCCAAGGCCAGAAGACTAGCCAGGAGAGGGAGGAATGTGTGACGATTCCAAAGCCAGGAGTTCACAGGATCAAGAGGGATCAAGAGGGGGCCCAGAATAGAACTTGCTCGGCAAAGACTCGGGCAGACCTTGCCCTGCAGGATGCCCTGTGTAAGAAGTGGGTTATAACGTGGCTGGTCCTATCATCCTTGCCTGGCTGGAAATCTCTGCTGCTTCTTCCCTTGATGGCCTTCCCAGCATCCTCTACTCCATGGCTCTCAACTCCCCCATTCCCCTACCAAGGTGTCACTAAAGGCCAACCTGTTAGCATGTCCTTGTCAGTGGTGAAAGATGCCAAGATCTCATGCCCAGTCCAGCTCTGCCTGGGTACAGCTGGTCATGGACAATACTCTTCACTCAGCTGGACCAGATCTCTGCCTGCTGGGTGCAAACACCAAGAGCAGTAAGAGAAAATGGCGAGCCGAGGTCCTCTATGGAAGCTTCCATTTGGGGAGGGCCGCTGTGTGTCAGGCCCCAGTGATGTTGGGAGCCTCTCGTGGGAGCAGCACCCAGCCTTGCCCTCTGGGAGACGGCAGTGGGTATCAGCTGGGAAAGATTCTCATACATCACTCATGGCAATTGGCCACAGAGTTCTCAAGAGGATCATCCTCCTGCCTCATACTTCTCCTCAGTCCTCCTTCTGCAATGTCCTACTTTTCCTTAAACAACACCCTGGGGTTGTTCTCAGTCACTTTCAGTGAGAGAGTGGCTGGCCCTTGCTACATTTCATCCTGGGGGCTGCACGGCATGTCCCTCCCATCCTCCAGTCCATCTCTCTTCCCCTCCTCCGCTCTGGCCATTCTCTGCTGAAGCTTCCTCTGGGATCACCTGGGGGTGTGCTCTTCCCTCACTCTCTGTTCTCTCCTTAGGTGATGGTGGCCTCCATTTCAAGCATCTCACTCCTCTCTTCTGGAACATCGACACTAAATCTTCCGGTTCATACCCAGTCCACGTTCCTCTCCCAAACTCTTCCCATCTCCAACACACGGGGGCGCTTATGAGCACCTGAATCCCGCTAAGTGAACGCGGTCGAGACATAGGGAACTTCTTAGACACCCAGCCCAGTACTCCGGGTGACTTTAGCTTCTGAAAACCCTTCGTGAACAACTCAGAGCAGAACACAAGCCCTCCAAGGCCCTGTGGATGGGAGCCACACTTCGCTCCCAGACTCTGTGGGCGGCATCTGGCCCCAGCCCTTCCCACTATTCCCCACCTGGGGGTGCATCCTTTCTGGTCACCGGAGTTCGTTCTATTTAACATATGCCCAAAGACCATTCTTCTTCCTCCAACAAAGCCCAGAGAAGCCAGAAATCTCTATTTCCCCTGTGCTAATTTAGCATCCAGAGCTCCAAGACCTTCCCTGAGCACCTCTGTCACCTTCTATTTCTCGTATGCTTTCTTTCTTCTCTGGATGCAAACGTTCTTTTCCACTGGGACAATGATTTTGTGTTCCAAGTGAGACTGGATAGAGAGACAGGAAACTCAAGGGGATTTGGGAAGTGGAAAAGGCCTCTACCCCACAGGATCTAATTCGGGTTCCTCATTCACACAATTGACAAAATCAGTAGAGATTTCTACAGGGGCAAGACTCATTATTCCACGATATCTCAAAGGTGTTATAAACAACAAAGGAGCCAAGCTCGCTGAAGAACGTGGCTGCAGACTTTTGTAACCTTACCACACTCCTGCCCACGCCAGACCTCAGCAAAGCACCCCATTAACACTTCACAATTTTATTTCATTAAACAAATGAAAATCGTTTAAAATTAAAAAAAAAAAAAAAGCCAGGCAGGGATGGGTGTACAGTTAAGAGCACTGACTACTCCTCCAGAGGTCCTGAGTTCAATTCCCAGCAGCCACCTGGTGGCTCACAACCATCTGTAATGGGATCTGATGTCCTCTTCTGCTGTGTCTGAAGACAGCAACAGCGTCCTCACATTAAATAAATAAATAAATAAATAAATAAATAAATAAATCTTTTTAAGAAAAAAATTCCAGGCATGGTGGCACACATTTTTAATCCCAGTATTCAGGAGGCAGAGGCAGGTGGATCTCTGAGTTTGAGGCCAGCCTGGTCTGTTGAGCTAATTTTAAGACAGTCAGGGCTACACAGAGAAACCCTGTTTCAAAAAGGAAAAAAAAGAAAAGAAAAGAAAGAAAGAAAGAGAAAATTACATCCTTCGGATACTATAACATAAAGCCAGGAAGTCATATGTTATTGATAAGACACTGAACCTAGCCCCCCGCCCCTTGTCCATGCTTAGATTTAATACGTGTTCACATGGTTTCTCTCACCTCTATATAATAAGCCTAGTTCTGTTCCACACAGACCTGTCCTGAAATGCTTTATCGGGAATACAGTCAACATCCCAGTTTCAACTTAGTAGATGCTGCTAAAGGGGGGGGGGAGCTTGAATAAAGGGATGTGTGAACAGATAGACAGACAGATGGATAGATGCCCTTCCCAGAATACTTAACCCAAAGCAAGATGCCTAGGCATTCTAGGTTGATAGGCAGTACCGGGGAAAGGAGAGTATTCACTGGTTCCGTGCATGAGTGAGCCATGACGGAGAGACGCCCTGGGCACCTGCAGTGGGTGTGTGCTAAGATGCGGGATAGGTGGACCAAGGGCAAAAT